TTCTGAAATGAGAAAGCATGAAATGTCCCAGGAGGGCAATTCCATCTCTGAAGAATCCCATCCCCACCAACACACAGAAGCCTGGACAGAGAATAGAATGCAGATTTCATTCTACCGGCAAGGGGTGTGAAGCTTGGGCTGTAATATGGGAGAGGCTATTGCCTCATAGACACTCTTCAGAGCGTATGATTAGGGCTAAGGCTGCACCAGAAAGCATACATGGTCAGACAATGGCGTTCATTCGCCCCATTAGCCAATCTGCACAGTGCTTACACTGCCCAGCTTGCCCTCTTCTCAGTGCCCATTCTCTTGGTGTTTAATCTCCTCAGTGCCCATTTCCTCCTGTGCGAACTGGCCTCAGTGCTCAAATCATCAGTTCCCTTTCTCACCAGGGTTCAGGTTCCCCAGTTCCTTGTCTCACCAGAACTCAGTCTGCCCATTGCCCATTCTTACCAGTGCCCATTCTCCTCGGAACCAGCTCTCCACCACGATTTCTCGTCCCTGCACCTATCTGCCATACTGTTCACTCTTCCTGGTGCCCACTGTCCCCAATGCTCAAGCTCAATCTCTCTACCACACATACAGACACTCACAGACATACAGACAAGCAGACCACACACACACACACACACACACACACACACACACACACACACACACTTTAGCCATAAATAAAAATGAAATCGTATTTTTTTCGTGTAGTAATAATTCTAACTCAAATGCAGAAAGATAAATACAACTTTTTTTTTCTCTCAGATACAGAACCTAGGGTTTTCTTTTGGAAACATAAGAGTAGAAGAATGTTTGCTTTGGAAAAGAAATGGGGCCAGTGATGGGGACAAGAGGAGATGAAGATGAATGACTTGTTCATAATAGTTTTGCATAATTAATATATTCTCACAAAATAAATTTAAAGAGAAGATTGGAACAACTATGTGAGAGGATTGCACCAAATTTAAATATGGGCACAAGAAATGCGTTCATTAAAACAGTTTTTAATATACCTAAATATTATTTACATGCCTAAAAGATCTGTAGGGGAATAATAAATGACATGTTGAACAGTCCTGGGTGAGAATTTCCCCATCACAGAACACTATATGATCAAGGTCACAGAGCAACAGGGAATGGAAGCAATCACACAGAGCATTTACCTTCCTGTCCCCGTGGTAGTCACTGTATTTTAAAAAATAGTAAAGTTTGAGTTAGTATGCGTATATATTATATTTTATCATTTGGTTGAGAAGTTCAGTAGAATGATGTTAATGTATAAGACACAAAGTTCTAACACAGCTAAATTTGAAAAAATAATTTAGAACTCACAAAAGAAATATCCAGATAAAACTCGGCTTTAGGTGTTTGGTTGCCGAAGGTGTAATCCTCAGTACATGTACTTTCTACTTTGTATAAAGGCAGGGTGCTAATGCCTGTGGTTTAGGCTCCGGCCCTAAGAGGAAAGCCATTTTGCTTACACTGTAGGTAGAAGCGGCTCTGTGACAGGATCCTTTGCACCTTTTTCCCTGTGATGGATCACTTTAAATTCATCAGTACCACAGACAATTAACAAGGCAAATATCCTACAGATCTCAGGTCACGACCATCGTCGGTGTGCACAGAAGGACAAGCATAGATGAAAGCCAATATCCCCCTTCCTTAGCTATTCTAATTTATCACCTGGTTATCTTTCATGAAGTACTCATGCTTTGAGTTTTTTAAAAAAGGAAATAGTAAAAGCCTACTTACAACAAAATAAATTACCCTTTGATATCCAGTTCAGTAGCTTAGTGTTTGAGAAAAACAGAATCCACAAAGCCTTAATATATTCCAGATTTGACAAACTGTGAACTATTTACCAAAGCAGAAAATCCACCACAGGCTTTGCATTCTTTTTTCTTTCATTTTTTTTCTAATTTCAAAAGCAGATAAATCATATTTAGCAACCAAAGAGAACTAACTGCCTCTTGGCTGACTGATGGGAAAAGTGGGAGGAGGGGAAAAAAAAGGAAGATTTAGGAACATTCACTCAGAAAGTTGTTCCCAAGATACAAATATGCAGAATTTTAAGTATTTCCTGGCAATATCAAAATACAGGAACCATTAGCTGAATATATGCGAATAATCATGGTAGCTCTCCTTGAGTCTTTGAATCCTGCGAACAGTTTATGGAAGCCACAAGTCATGCCTGTGTTTTCCTCACAAAAAACTTCTGAGATTTGGGCTTAAACTTTTAAACACAGTAGAGGAAGAATAAGCAACTTTATAAAAATTCATGCACACTCTGCTTATGTATTTTTCATCACATTGGTACCATTTTTCCATGTACTGATTTAATATCCTCTCTTTCACCAGACTAAGTACAGTAATGAAGAAAAAAACACTAGAACCCTTTGGCAATTCCTCATAAAAGAGAAACATTGTAATGACGACGTACTTCATGTTTCAAATAAGAGAATGGAGTATTTTCCAAGTTTTTACCCCAAATAAATTTGAGACATCAAACTCTTTTAAGTGACATTTTAAAGAAATGTCACACAATGCATACATGTGTCAAAATGTCATTACCTTATTAAAATATAAATTTATATCTTTATATACTAATAGCTCATAATGTAATTTAAATGAAAAGAAAATTATGAAATATAAATGGAAAGCACTGATGGCTTACTGCATGTTTCAGTGTAGAATTTTTATGCCTCAGTGCAAAATGAACTAAAATCATGCATTTACATGAAGATTTAGATACCTTTCTCTATTCATGCTGAAAATAAGAGCAACATATTCCCCAATGATACTAAAGTTTCCAGAGTCCTGTGAAGAAGTTACATAAAAGAAAATTCCCTCACATAACAAATATCAAAACAGATTGATAAACAAATATGAGTTGTATAAGATGCATTATAAGGACTGTTGTAATACATATTACTTCATTAGGAATTTCTGGTTATGTCACCTATATCAATAAACTAGAAGGATCACAGAATCATGTCTTTGCTCAACCACTTCTAACATCTTATAGTAATTCGGGCATTAAGCCAAAATAAAATTTGGACAAAAAAAAATGTTTCCCGACAATGTAAGTGTTGCATCATTTTTAGAAAAAAAACAGTAGAGCTGTACAGCTATGTGGAAGGATTTAAAATGACTTTCAAATTAGTTTCCTGATTCACTGACAGTCAATATAATGGCCTGGCCTGATAGTTTCCTTCCACAATGTTCCAGATTAAATTAAAACAAAACCAAACAAAACAAAGCAAAACTGGGGATAGCTTTTGAAATCGCCTTCCATCTAAAGCCCCAAGAGCAGACATGACCAATGGCAGGGCTCAGCGGTTCCATTCATTTCTTTTATTGAGCACACACATAGTCTCTGCTGCACTGTGGGGAGACTGGAATAGATTTTGATTCTCTAAACTGAAGACATGGAGCCTTTGATAACACTGAGTGGCTTGCATGGCTTCCTCATCCCCAGCCATCCTCTCTCAGCTGGTGCCGTTCTGTCAGAAGCATGTCAGACTGGCATGCAAGGGATCTGCACAGCCCGCTCATTTCCCCTCACGGTTCTCATTGCCATTAATTTTGGGAAAACGTCCCAATCCTGTGGCTCATCTTCAAATATGTAAAGTGAGGCAGTGTTGGCATAACAGCCTCAAGTACATGAGCATCCTGAACTGCTTTAATTGTCTCATTAATATTCAACAGCATCATTTCCATTTCTGTAGCCACTGCCCTAGTTCAAGCAAACATTAATTTGTATCTAATAAAGTGTTATTAATGCTGTAGAATCTTTAAAATTGCTTTTGATAAACAAACACTTAGATTATTACAACACCCTTTTAACTTCTCTCACTCAACATTCCTATATTTTATATCTAACTGCCAGAAAGAGAAATCTCCTGATTTTATTACCATATGTGTTTTTCCTGTTCATTATGTAACAATCAAAACTCCTTGTGCCTAAAGTGACATTTTTTTCACCAAGCCCCTATGTTTTCAGTTCTTCTGTCTAGATGGTCTTTTCTTACTTCACTATGTCTCTATATTTTAGCTAGTATACCTAAATATTTTTGTGACTACCAAATGAAATACATTTATAATATCAAAGATGCGAGTTTGAAGGCCTTCCAAAATCACCTTATGCTAGTGCATGAATAAACACAACAAAGATTCATGATTGGTGTCTTGGACAGAATGAAAGTTGTGTGTGGAGGGGAATTCAAGTGCCTGAACCTCTGCTGAGTTTATTTTACTGTGTTAATACCATATCATGTGTACAGAAGAAGTTCGATATCTCTGCAGAATATAACGCTTCTCGAAGAAACATAATAGTGGAGTTGCTAACCAAGGGCGAACTCGTTTAACTGTAGGGTTTAGTTGTTCAAGCAGGGACTCCAAGGGGTCTCACAGCTTAGTTGTAGAGCACATAAATGATATTGAATTGTGTCTTGGCCTAATAATTCACATTGAAAATAAGAAAATGAAGATATTCTCCAAGTATTTGAGAAATGTGGAGCCATGGCGCTGCCCAATGAGACCCTTAACAAGAACTAATATTAAATTTAGAAATCTTCATCAGGGACTGGGGAGATGGATCAGTAGGCAGAGTGCTTACCACGGAGCATGAGACCCTGCCTTCAGTTCCCCAACATCCACATAAAAGGCTGGATTTTGTAACTTCATCCTGGGGAGGTAGGGTAGGGAATCCTTGATGCTTGGTGGCCACCAACCTTGTTTAATTGGTGAGCTCTGAGTTCAGTGAGAGAGACCCTGTGTCAAAAACTAAGGTGGAAAGTGACCGAGAACCTAGCACCCTCCTCTGGGTTTCAAATCCATGTGTGCACATGCACACTTACAATCACACGAAGTGCACCGCAGACTCAGCTGTACACACTCAGAAACATACAGATAAACAGAGACATAAACACATGCACAAGAAAAAAATTCACTGAACTCTTGTTCTGTCCAAAGATTTAGAATTTAATATTTTTTCTTCAGTGCGCCCATTCAAAAGCCCTGACACATACTTTCTGTGTCCCTGCAGAGCTGCTATTTGAATCCCACCACCTTTGGCCTCAATATTCTGTAACATCAGCGGCAACTTTCCACACAGTCCCCGAGTGACTGAGAAACCCTGCTGAGCAGCCCTACTGTGGTGCGAACTCTATGAGACGACCTCAGCAACTTACAGGCTCAGATACAGACAGAAGGTCCAGAGCTGCATACTTGCTCTTTCCGCTCATCACCAACTGTGATGCCTGTCTCCAGAACCTCCAATTTCTTCCAGGATATACCCTTCATTGAATCACATGCCTCAAGCAGTCTCTTGTATGGATTAACACCGCCACTGACATTTCCAAAATCATATTTTATTATTTTCATTTGTATATTCAATTAGCATTTCCACAAAATGAAAAGAAAAGGCCTTTTATTTAACGATCCCAACAATTTGATTGCTTTTTATAGTGCCAGGGTTTGCATTGCTCCTTTATATATTTTATTATCTATCCCCAACACGCTGAAAGCTACATGGCCCCTAAACACAACTCTATTTATTTATTTCTCTTACAGTTTTGAGCTTTATCACCTTTTTGGTTTTTTTTTTTTTTTGTACCCCGAAAGTGCTTTATTTCAAGTTAGTTGTACCAGCTACCGCACATTATGAATTTCCCTCGATTTCCTCAGCAGCATGTTGTCTCCATTAGCAAATTGCATTTAGAAATTTCCTTCTAATCCAGCAGTTCAAGCTGCAAGGGGCTTTGTCCTCAGTTCTCACTGGGCTTCTGGCAGTATCTGCAGACAGGAAACAGCTTTGTTTCTCATAACTGAAGAAGTGACAGCTCTCCAGTCCTAGGAAGGATTTTATCCGATTGTTTATCGTTTCGCCAATGAGGAACCCTAAGACAAATCAAATAATTTCTGTATTTTAATCCTTTTACTTGATGGTGGTGCTGATGTATGTGGTGTGTGTATGTATATGTGTGTGCATGTGCTTATGACTGTGGTGTGTGTGTGTGTGCATATGCTTATGACTGTGGGGTGTGTGTGAATGTTTGTGTTGTATGTATAGTGTGTGATTCTTGAATATATACATTAGAATACTATGATTTTCTATATGATTTTATTGTCTCCAAAACCTACCACAAATTTTGACATATATAGGTTTTCTAAAATACTTTACAGTGTAAAATTACATACACTATATTATTCATAATTTTACAAAGCCTAATCATGCAGAAAGAAATTACTTACCAATAATACTGTGTCATGTTTAACAAATATTTTCTTTGATAAATTGTATATCTCAGTTGTCATTTGAATATTTCAATAATGAAAATCTGTATTGTTCTGGTAAAGGAAAAATACTATGAGTCAATTCACATTTGTCATCACTGGGAAGAAAACACACACTTTAATAATAGATGAAAAATTGATCTTGGCAGATATGTGTTTACTAGTTTTTCTCATGATAAGTTTGTCAGGTTTTTATTTTACACCAAGATACAGTTAACTCTTTCCTGTAAAAGGAAAGATCCTCTGTGATCTGCTGTTGTGGTGTTGATTAAATCAAATCCAGTTTGTTTAGATTTTCTAAAAATTGAGCACCTAGTTGTTGGATAAAATAAAGCACTGAGTTTTCTTGCAAATTTTTCATAAAAATTTAAGAATTACTGCTATTGGAATGTATAAACCACTTTAAAGTTCCTAGTGAAACGAACAGATGTGTTTTGCCTATTAATGAAATATCAATTTTACACAATGTCCAATAGTTTCCATGTAAGAAGAAAAATGAATGGGTCTTGTAGTTTCTTGTTTTAGAAGACAATATTCAAATTATTTTGCTTGCCATGTAACATTCTCCCAATCCCAACCCAGATCTTACTTACACTTTTAGGCAAATCTTGCACATATTGACTGCTTTATTTTATTCAGATTCCCTTGAGGACATCTCTCATTTTTTTCATGTGATATTTGTTTCTGTACCCCACGCTTTTCACATTGTCTTCTGACTACAGTTTGAAATTACATAGTGAGCTCTCTCTGATTTCCTCTTAACCTCACTTCCTCTTAAATACTGATTGCCTAGCCTGTCCATCGGATCTTCTAAATCCCCCCATAGGTCAGCTCAGATCCTTGTTTATCCCTCCATCTAAAACACTGTAGCATTTACCTCTTAACTAAGTTATATGACCATGTTTTATTCTTACCGCTGCGCATTTTAATCATTACTTTTCCTCCAGATTCTGCAGTCCACGAGGTGGGGACTTGCTTTACAGACATCTGCGATCCACACTTATCATCCAGTATGATGTCCTGCATGTTGTATTTATGACCCAGCTGAACGAAGATCAGATGAGTCATAGTTTTACCCTAGGAGCAGAAAATAGTGCAACGGCCTAATTATAAAGCATGACATAATATCACCCAACAAATAAGTGTAGAAAAACAAACATAATAACTACCAAATAACATGACCATAATATGTTATATATGTGATAGTCAAGGTAAAGTGTTGATTTTGTTTGAATATGTATTTGAACAAATTATAAAGGGTCATTTTTGGTGTAACTGGAGAAATATGTATATGAATATGTAAATGATAACATTAAGAACCTATGGTATAAGAAAGGGGTGCATCAAATTTCAAAAGTGGTACTTTTCAGAGGCAGATACATAATTATCTTTAAATTATAAGACAATCTTTGTTTTAAATATTCCAAAAAAATCATTAGGGAATAAATTAGTGTATAATAGTAGACAAAACATTGACCATTACTGGCACAGTGAGGGTGATATGCCATTCCTTGTACTACAGCCAAAACAGTTAAATGTTGTAATCACTTTAGTGATTTTCTGTTGGTCTTTTTACTTCCTAACTTTTTTCTCTTCACCATTCAGTATGGGTAACTTCCATCTTAGACTTCCTGAGAAAGTGAACATTGGCTGAGGTCCCCTACATTCATTAGTTTATTAACACCTACTATGTAAAACCCATTGTTATTCTCGTAGTATGCCAGAACTCAGATGCCTATAGTGTCTACATTTTGAGACTTCCTTTAAACATCAAGCCAACTGAAACAGCTGCATTTCCCTGAAATACTCTAACTGTATTCCTTGCTTCAAGATGTTCCTAATTTTTCTACACAAGATACCCTTCCGTTCTCCCTTTCATTCCCCTAAGTGTTGTGGAATATTAATTGAAGATGTGTTACATTTGTTTATGTTTTGGAACATTTGTTTAATGATGCAAAGATGTGTTGCATTCTTTTATGCTGCATTTGCTTAACTCTGTGAAGTTGTGTTACTTTGCCTGTCTAAAACACCTGATTGGTCTGATAAAGAGCTGAATGGCCAATTAAGCAGGAGAAATATCTGCCAGGTTGGGCTGGTAGGCAGAATCAATAGGAGGAGAAATCTGGGAGGAGAAGATCGAGGAGAGAGTAAAGAAGGTGTCAGTCACCAGCTACACAGCAAGTCACAGAGTAAGAAATAAAGAAATAAAGGTAAAAGCCCAGAGGCAAAAGATAAATGGGATAATTTAAGAAAAGCTGGCTAGAAATAAGTCAAACTAAGATTAGACATTCATAAGTAATAGTACATCTCTGTGTCTTAATTTGGGAGCTGGGTGGTGGGCCCCCAAAAGAGCAAAGAATAAAACACAACCAACACTACCTAAGCATGAATCATTTCCTCGTCTGACAGAATGAACCTGTTTCTCTCTGAGGTGCTCATACACCCTGTCTGTGCTTCCTTTGGATATGGCTGTCCTATATTATGATGCAGTATAACTTTCACCCTTGGGGTCAAGCATAACCTCTCTGAGAAGAGGATTTACCTTGAATCTCTGACACAGATCTGTATGCAGAATATATTTAACAAATACTGGTTAACAGGTGGGTGGAAGAATACTAATAGTCGTAAGCAATGATACATTGAGATCAAGAAAAAGCAGTGTCCTCAAAAATATAAAAAAAACATGACTTTAAAAATTAGTAGTGAAATGATTGTCATTATTGGAAAGTACCAGGCATCATTGGGACAAGTAAAATATTTTTGCTGCCACATTTTTTTTTTTTTTTTTGAGACAGAGTTTCTCTGTAGCTTTGGAGCCTGTGCTGGAACTAGCTCTTAGAGTCGAGGTTGGCCGCAAACTCAGAGATCCTTCTACCTCTGCCTCCTTAGTGCTGGGATTAAAGGCATGTGCCAACACTGCCTGGCTCACATTTACTCTTCTTAATCCTGTAATGTTATAGATGAGGAACAAGACTTGGTCATATTAGGTTACTTCCATGCGTAGAGTTCATCTGAGTTCAAATCCAAGTCTGCTTGAAGTCGGCATTCATAACTTCTTTTACTTTATTTCATTTCATTTTATTTTTTGCTGTGTATGAGAACCTTGAGTTCTGAGGCTATAACTAAAGAGCTGTTCAGAAGATTAAACAGAATGTAAACAGATGGCATTGCCCTTCCTCTCCCTATATCAGCAACTAGCTACTTTTTAATTGGTTTTATGCAATGATTTAATACGTGTTTTTGCCCTGAATAAAGAGATACAACATAACTTTCATATTTGCCATTATTTTCCATTGTCTTTTACATAAGGACTCCATGTATTTTAAATTGTTTCACTGAATGCATGATTACACCCCTCCGATGAAATGATCATGAGTTATTTTAATCGGAAAACTAGAAATTGTGAGTCCTGCCCTAATACAGGCATGTGCCCATGGGCCTATTAGTCAACATGCTGCGGCACAAACCCATTTCTGTAATTGCTCTCAGAACCAATTTCAAATTGCATAAGAAAATTAATGTCTTTGCTTGATAGTTTCAGATCCCACTCGCTTTGAACAGTTTTGTTTCCAGAAAAAAAATCCTCCCTGGAAAGATGAGATAATTGTGAAAATACTTAAAATGTGATTCCTCTAAATCAACACTCCAAAATTGTGTTTTTGAAGGTTTAGGGGGGAATACATGGCTCCCGAAGGTGGCCATTTAAGGGAACCACTTTGAATATGCAAATCATGCTATAAATGTGTGCATATGCCTGCATACATTCTCTGATATCTCTATATGTACACATGTGTAAGCATAGTGTATGGATCTATAGTTCCATAGTTTATATGCTAAATATCATAAATTTACTATTAGACATGTCAAAAAATTTGGAAAAGTTCTTCTCTTGAGATGAATGGTAGCAGTGTCTGTGTGAAGGGTCCAGGGAGCTTGGTTGTAGACAGGTGGATTCCTTAAGAATATTCAGATAAGTAAAGTATTTTCTGGACTGCTAGATGCATGGCATGTATCTATGTTCAAAGCGGGAGACTTGTGATGCATGATAATCTATTAAAGTATTGTGGCATACTTTCAAATCATCATGAGTGGCAGCTCCCTTATGTATAAAATAGAGATAATCTAATACTTATTAATAGTTATTTGAGAAATCAGTAACGTACAATATACTAAGATGATGCTTGTCTTATCACCAGTGTGGTCTTGGCCAGGCCAATTCGAGCAGTTCATTGGAACATTAATATTCATATAGCTATAATCTTCCCTTTAGTGGTTACAGAAATGCTACATAACTGGGCATCTGGTGCTGTAAAGTGCATTCCCAGCCATGAACACTACATAAGGTCTGGGATTACCAAGTAGTTAAAAGTAGACAGCGTCCAGAGCCTTTGCTTCCCAGATACATGGGAGTAGGAGTGTGTCCTTGGAGAAGAGGAAGGGAGAGAAAGAGAATATCTGGTAATTATGGGGAAATTCTTCAGAACATATTGCCAATTGCCCTTGCTTTTATTTTTTCTGAACGTGAGCATCCGTATGTAACTTAAATTGTCTCTGCTCTCACAATCCTCTGGTATCAGCCTCCTCAGTGGTAGGATTAAAGGTATGCACCTCCGTGCAAGACTGATTTGTTGACTATAAAGGATCACCACTCTGGTTTTTTTTTTAACCTGTGACCTGATGAAAATACAGAGTTTTTGATCTCCTTTTTGTATGTGTTTACAAAAATTCCTGATGTTACAGGGTACCCAAAGCACCATCTTCATCTGCCAGGAAAGAACTTCACCCCTGGGGCAATGTGGGAAGTTCATTCCATTTTTTATTTATTTATTTATTTTTTCACTTCTGAGTTGACTTTAGATCTTAGGAAATAACAGCTAGAATAGAAACACATATGATGCATATTTAAGTATTCATTTATTACCTTAACTTTTAGGCTTCTAAAGGTATAACACGATTATCGAGAAATAATCTTGAAACTATTCTGTAAGTGGTAAATCATTATGAAAATGTTTAATGACACAAAGGCTATAATTTGTATGAGGGAACTTTGATAAGTAGGCTTAACATTTAGCTGAAGAGGAGGCAGGGTGGGTAATACAGAGAAAGAGGGAAAAGCAAAAAACATTAATGGTGATTGAAAAGACCACAAAAATATTATTTTGTGCTTATTTAAAAATTAATGCTCACACACACATACTATATATATATATATATATATATATATGCACAACTAGATATCTGTATGTATAGGTATATGGTGTGTGTTTATATATGTATACATACATATATATATATAGTTAAACCACCTGGGGTAATAAATACCCCCCCATAAGTGTCATAGGAAACCTCTCTTCTAGTTCTTGGTTAAAGAAATAAAAAGACACCTTAAATACTGTAGGCTATGTCTATTGTCCTTGGTTATCTCCCAAAAAATGAAAGTAAGAAACTCTGCTAAAGACACACGACTTAGAGGAATCAAGCTGGAACTGACCTGGAAGCCTGGCCCCTGAGCACTAGCTCGCCTGGTATCTGAAGGTGCTCCACAGGCTCCCTAGAGAAAAAAATTAATACAGCACTAGTACTACTCAGCTGTAAATCCCATGAGCCACAACATGCCCAGCATGGCACAAAACCTCCAATGTTAGCAATAGTAGTGCTTGCATCATGGTGGCCTCCAACATCCATTTAGTCGGGTGTAGGACCAGATCAGTAGAAGTGAATCCATGCCTGGTGCTATAAACCTAGCCAAACTAACCATGGCTGATAAAGTCACAGACCTTAAAGGAGAATTTGCCAGCTGCCTAAACCGGTATACGTAGCACCATTAATAAAAACCCAGAGACAGAAATTGGGGTTCAATCTGAAGGTTAGAAAAGCACAACAGTCACTGACTCTTACCTCTACCTCAGTCTGAAATGGTGATCCTGCTTCCAGTATGAGATTGTGTGTGAGAGTGCTCTCCTCCAAGCTTATATTCCTCTCTAGTACTGGGACTAAAGGTATGTACCACTAACGCCAGGTTTCTATAGAAAACTAGCATGGCTACTGGGATTAAATGTGTGTCACTACTGCCTGGT